TCTATAAATTGGAACACTTTTAGAAAAATATAGAAAAAATTAGAAAAAATATGTTCCTCATTAAATCTGAAAAAGTTTTTTTCTAAAAATCTTTATTTTCTGATATTTTCCGAAATTTTTTTATTTTCTTTAAGTATTTCTTGCAAAATACAGAATTTTTCTGAAAAAAATATATGATTAGAATTTATCATTATAAATACGCAGAAGTTAAGAATTAGTTGGAATTATTTTATCTTACTTTCTCAGAATTATTTAAAAATACTCTGAATTATTCAAAATTATTCTGAATTACAATGAAATGTTCAAACTTTTATTAATATTTCTAGAGCATATTTTATTTAAATTCTCTGAAAATTTTACAACGATATATTTAAATAAATACTTAATTTTTTCTCTTTTTCTAAGAAACTGGAAGAATTATTCTACAAAAAATATAGTCACAATATTTTTTATTTTTATCTACATTACATATGTAACTTATATATTTATAAAATATAATATCCATTACATATAAAATTAACCCTTGTGTCAATGGATAAATTTTTACCGTTAAGGGGGTCATCCCGTGTGACGGCTTCAAAACATCGATTTTTTTTTGCATAAATCTAATCTAGAGCTATTTCTAACGCGTTTTTTCTTAAAACTGGATTTTTTTAACTGGTGCAATTGGTGCCCATGATTTTTCGAAAACGGTTCAATGGATTTAAATAAAATTTTAATGGTAGATTCAGCACATGTGTGGCTATCGTGGAAAATAGGATTTTTTGAAAATATTAAAAATTCAATTTTTCGCATGTTTTTAAAAATTATAACTGAAAATAGCATGATTTTTTGCGACTATTTTTTTATGCGGACAGAAAACGGTTCAATATTTTTTAAAAATTCTAGTTCCCACGATAGCCACACATGTGCTGAATGTACTATTAAAATTTTATTTAAATCCATTAAACCGTTTTCGAAAAATCATGGGCACCAGTTAAAAAAATCCTTTGCCAAAATTACTTTGCCAGTATATTCTATGCATGCTCTAGATTAGATTTATGCAAAAAAAAAAAATCGATTTTTTGAAGCCGTCACACGGGATGACCCCCTTAAGCCAATGTATTGGATACTTGCTATGAAAAAAGATAAAAACATCAAATTGGTGCAACAAAATTCTGTTTTACTCGAAGAATGTGGATCTGAAGCGTCATAACAAAATTCGCTTAAAAACATAGAAAAAAATTATAATATTTAATTTGAAATAGGTATCCGGGTATCCATCCATCAATGCAAGGAATTTTATAAGAAATTATAATTTCAAAAAAAAAAGTATGAATCATTAACATTTTTCACAAACTTTCATTTCATAAAAAAATACGGAAAATATAATTTTAACGTAAAAGGTCCATTTTTGTATGAAAAATATTAGACCAAAGAAGATTAAAGGAAAAAATGTTTTCTTAAAAAAAATATTTTATTTCTTACTTTTTCTGAAAAACTTAAAATATTCTGAAAATCTCTGAATTTTTTAACGAATATGAAGTTTTTCGAGAAATTCTGTTATATATAAAGAGAATTTCAGAGTTTGTTGAACATTTTCATTATTTTAGTACAAAAGAGAAAATTTGATTAATGCAGGAAAAAGTTCGGAATTTTTCTGAAAACTTCTAAAAAAATATCTTACTTTCTCTGAAAAGATCAATTTTTAGAGAAAATCAAATTTCCCAGACAACACAAATCTCCTAGGGACGTTGTGAGGATATTCTGAGGACGTCCTGATATTCTAAGGACATTTACAGGATATTCATAACATGTCCATAGGATATTATGTACCGTTTAGGTTAAAAAGAAGAATTTTCATTCAACAGGGTTATGAATATAAAAGAGGATTTATTAACTATATGCTTTCAAGTGTCCGAATTAGTGTCTGTCAAGTGTCTGTAGTATGCTACATTTATGTGAATTCCATTCCTATAAAAAACAAAAAATTGATATATTTATGTTGCCAAAACTTTCAACTGATAAAGGTATGATTTTGCCAGCAGTTATTCCGTGTGATGCCATGGTTCTACTCACTATCAAAAACAGTATCTTTTGACATCTCAGCGAAATGTAATATTATTCTGCATTTTCTCCTGTAAGAATTCACTGTAGAATTTAAGATCCCTGTGTTCTCACTTCGACTGTTCTTGTTTGATGACGTCAGAAGCGAGAAATCATATGCTAAAATATATTACGGCCCAGTAAGCAAGTTAACGTTTAGAAATATTGATTTTATGTATTTTTTTTCGATGTTTCTTAATAATATTACATATATATTTTTAAAATGTTATTTTTAAATACGGTTTTTATGAATATTGTTAAAATATTTTAAAAACATTATATTAGGAAATATTTTTTAAATATTACTTTGACATTTATTTGAAGTCAATGCAACAGTTCAAAATTGTTTATAATTTGGACTTAGAAATAACGTTGGTAAAATATTGATTTTCTGTTGTTATATTATTTTTTGTATTATTCTAATATGTTCTGTGACGTGGCAGCTTTGAGCGCCTGTCACAGGACGCGGACGCCTCCGAGAAGGCCCTATCGTTGGTAGGGCGGTGCGCTCCTAGCGAGCGCATATTTGAAGCGGAGAGATTTTTTTGTTTGTGACACACACGCCTCGGGCGCGCGGGGATGGTGGAGGCGAGCTCCGCGTCCCCTAAAATGTAGAGCCCCGCTCCGGATGGCGGCGAGAAGAAGACGAGGAGGCAGACGAGGTACCACCCGCCGGGTGGAGGAACGGAGGCCGCCCGAAGATGCAGCTGGACCCCCAGGTGCCTCGCCTTGCTCTTTTTTCTTTTTCGGATGTCGAAGCGCCGCTATCGGCACCGCCTAGGCTGTCGTGTTCCGTCCCTTGTACAGCGGTAAAGCCGGCGAGCCAAGAACGCGCTCAAGGGCGAATCACAAACTGGAGCCGAAGCATCGTGCCGAGCTACCGAGGCAGGAGGTGAGACGCCAGGGCCAAGGAAGCAAATCGGCCATCGTCGGCAAACATCCGGCTGTCGAGGAGGGGCGGATTTCTGAGCCATAAAGAAGGGGAGACTTGCTTGAAATCAGCAGGTCCCCCGACGGATGAGAGCTTTTTTGACGCTTGGCGAATGACAGTGGTAGTAGAGAGAAAATCGTTGTGCGACTGAGAAGGAGAGAGAGAGAGAGAGAGAGAGAGCCAGGGTCAGTGGAGGAGAGAGCGTTAGGGCGAGAGAGAGAGAGACTGAGAGAAGGCGAGAGGACGCACCACATGAGGAGGACGAGCATCTCCAGGAGCCAGTCGCCAAGAGCCCGAGATTATAAGGCCGCCCATCTGCATTTACAAGTGTAGTGTATCGCGTGGGTCGTTCGTTCGGCCAACCGCCGTACAGCCCCCCCCCCCCCCCCCCCCCCCCCC